CACGCCCACGCCCCCGCCCACGCCTCCGGTTCCTGTCCCTAGGTACATGTTTTTCGTAATTTCTTTTTCTTTTTTCTTTCTTTTTTATTTTTCTTTCTTTTTCTTTCCGTTTTTTTCTTTTTCTTTTTTCTTTCTTTTTTCTTTCTTTTACTTTTTTCTTTCTTTTTTCTTCTTCTTTCTTTTTTCTTTTTCTTTCTTTTTTCTTTCTTTATTCTTTTTTCTTTCTTCTTTCTTCTTTTTTTCTTTTTTCTTTCTTCAAACCCCGCCTCAGACCCCATCTCCCTTCGTAATTACCCTAGATACACATTTTTCTTAATTGTTATCCTCCATTATTGAAAAATTATTTTATATAGACTTAAATATTTTCCTAAATCGGAATTTTAAAAACAGGAAAATGTTATCTACACATATATCTTGGGAAGTTAATTGATGTATAATCTGTGTACACAGAGTCACAATAGATATAATTTTTCTTTTGAATAATCATTTTGCAATCTTTTGTTGGCAAATCATGTTCCTTTCATCAGTACTCATACATAACCTTTTTTTTACAGAACATTGAATTATATCCTAGTATTTCGCAGATATTTATCATTTTTTTTTGTAATACGATATTAGCTAACTCGTCCCTTTAATTACAAACTCAAATATTTCTCCTAAAAAGGTTTGTTTTATTTTTATTTTCTTTAAAAAGTACAGTATTCTAAAATGCCCGAATCCCAGTGGTAAATCCGACTAACGGGTTTCGTTAATATTAATAAATTCAAAATTCTCAGTAATCTTATCTGGTAAATATACATTCTCAAAAAACTTAATTTAAGTAAAAATAATTATAACTGATAGAGATATTTTCAAATCTAATAGCTCATTTAAAATAATGAGAACAAATATTGTCTGCAATTAATAATCTACATAAATCGTTGAAATTGACAAATAAACGACCTAGTTTCTGTGGCTGATCTCTTCAATAAATATTTTTCATCCGTTACGGATAACGTTACCAAATAGTTTAATGACCTAAATTATTTTTCATTTCAGTTTCGTATACACTTCGTAATATAAGTAAATAAACAAGACCAATTTATACAAATTTTACTTACAGTTACTGAAGTTGGTAACATTGGCTCACACATTGCACAGCCGTCCTGTGAAAAATATTTCTGGCCAAGAGTACATTTCCTGAGCAGTAAAATGTGCATTGCAGAAAAGGCGTCGACCTCTTTATTTGACTCCACCTTCGCCCACGCCAACTTCTGCTCAGACCCAGCATACAGGAACTGGTGACTTTAATTTGCATTCGTCTGCCGTAGCTTCGGCATACCGCATCGCATAAAATGCTCGGTTGTGACTTGGGTCAATACGTTGTGATGTGGCTGTGAGTGATACAATACCACAGTATTTCGTTCTATCTTTGCTATCTTTGCTCGCGAAGAAAATAGCGTGTCGTTGAATGTCACCGGTGGAAAACATCTTCGAATAAATATTTTATGTAACTAGTAGAAAAACGGCGAGCACGCTAAATTGGTCTTCAAACCTCGGCTTTTTTTTGAATCAGTATAAGAGCACATGCTTTCCCAGATATGCAGTAAAAAACAAACATTAGTATATTGCAAATAATACAACAAGAAACATTGATACCACCCTACTTTATTCCTAATAACCAAATCCACAAAGCAGCTAAAATATGAACGCATATCACAAACCTATCAAAAAATATTTGTCTCTGCCCTACCATCTACACTTTGTTTGCATAACTTCAAAATAAGGAAAATTTACATGTTTTTATCATTTTTCATTATCTTTATCTTTTATCTTTATCTATTATCTTTTATATGGTAGAATAAAACTATTAAATTATATTGTCACCTAAACTTTGAACTCCTAAAAACATGCAGCTAAACAGAAAGAATTTTTGTTTTAATCCGTGTCGATCTATGTAAAATCTGTGATGAACAATGCGATGCAGTTCTTTGTAACTCTAGTTTCCCCCTGCCTCTCATTTCATTACACTCCAGTATCATTACCTTCAGGATCATCAGAATCATGTATGAGTATTCATAAACCCTTAGAGCATCTTTGGTTTCGGTTTCAAGGGATCGGAACAGAAACACGCAACCATCATTTGAATATTGATAAAAAAATAATGCCGTCCCATTATTAGTACCATGAAATCTCTGCATACTTTTCGTGTTTGAAATAAAGTCCAATGAAACGAAGACAGTAAAATATTCAAATGTGGTGAACGGTTTTCCATCTACGATTACTACCATGGTCAACGGTTACTACCATGGTCTGCCAACAAAAATCCTACTTTGTACGCTGGGAGTAATAATTCAGAGACTCTTTTTTAAAGTTACGAGTGTTACGTGAATCTGTATCCTTCGTATAGAACCGCCTCTAGTGCCAATGACCCGAGTCCTGGGTCGTCTTCACAGAGCTCCGCAGCCATCGGAGAGGCAATGAAAGAAACAATTGAAGTGCCCTGGGGAATGGCCGCACGTTGGGGCTGAGTCGGATGAGGGTCGTACAGGCACGAACTCGTAACTGGAGAAAGGACGGCACAAGCCGTAAGAAGGCCATTAAAGAAGAAGTAGAGGACGTGGAAATGGATGACGACAAATGCAACGTGATGGGACAAGAGAGTGGAAAACATTTCCCGTGGAAAGAAACGAAGAGGAAACCGAATAACAAGTCTTAATGTAATAAAGTCCAAGACTGGGATTAAGGGATGTGAAGAATAAAAAGGGACATTGCACCAAAGAGTAGGGCATTAGAAATTCGGTACTTTCGTTTGAAAGGGAAATAAAGAATCATATGTTTATTTATATAATTATTTCTTACTTACGTGTTTATTTATTTGTCGCTTTCTTTATTTCAATATATTATTTAAACTTTAATAATGTAATACTTTAACTGTAATATTCAAAAGTCATATTCATATGAGAGGTCCAAATTTTTAACGTAATAATCCACTGTATATTGCCACCTTTTTAAGTCCTTCATTCTCCTCAATCTGAATATTGATGTTTACACCAAATTGTTTTGGATTTCCTCTTTTTTTAGTAAATGGTACCTACAAAACTACTATGTCTGATAGAACATCCCAAATCTTTTGATTTCCTTTCTTCAATCCTATCGATTTAATCATCTCTTTTTCGCGTCTTTTAGTATTATTAGTAGAAAAGTATTCTTCGTTATTTGTACAATTTAAATCGAGACTACAGTCATTCAGATTCGCGTCTTCGTAGTTCGTGTCTCAGGGACTCCAGTTTTTGTGATTCGAGTTTTCGAGATTCGAGTTTTCGAGATTCGAGTCTTCGAGATTCGAGTCTTCGAGATTCGAGTTTTCGAGATTCGAGATTCGAGTTTGCGAGATTCGAGTTTGCGAGATTCAAGTTTTCGAGATTCGAGTCTTCGAGATTCGAGTCTTCGAGAATCGAGTCTTCGGATCTTCGAGAGCCGAGTCTTCGACATTCAAGCCATCGACTTTCGTCCGACTGAGTCTAGCTCAGAGACAGCTTTGCCGCTGACGTTACTGCGAATCTGACTGGGAAGGTTCTAGGGTGCGGTTTCTGACGGTGGCGGACATCCGAATCTAGCAAAATTGCTTGTTTCGAACTCATCTGCTGTCTGGACGAGAATTCTAGCTGCCGACAACGCTGATCGATAGTTTTCCATGTTTTTTTCTGATCAGTACCAGGCGAAAGCCAAATCAGTACACAAACAAACAATTCCTAACACACATTCCTTGGTCCATAAGATTGACATGGCAATTTATTTCCTTTCCATTTCCTCATGACAGCATACGTTCACATCACCAAACTCCTGTTTTCAGCACTTCCGTCCTATCAAAGTCGACAAAAATTGATTTTAAAACATTTTCCAGTAATACCTTACTTACCGCATTTGTGATGTCAATAGATTAACAATATATGTCTGAAACAATAACTTTAATGACTAACTTTTAATTAACTGTGGGTAAAAAAATGAGTGCCTGAGAAAAATTGTTTATTTTCTCTTCGAGTAAACAAGTTAAGATTACAAAAGCGCATTTCTGGAAAGATATTTCGACTTTATAATTAAAAACTCATTCTCAAATGTGTCAAATTTTGAACAAAATCTTCATTTTAACACGACCGCCGTCTCAGCGTAGGTTATTTGTCGCCCACTGTTTTGTCTATTTCTAAAGAACGACGTGTACCGTTATTTTAAGTAACGTGTAATTTTTTCAAGGAACAATTATTCGAAAGAAGTCAACCGCTGAATTCACGTCGTCAAGTGTCCATTTAGATAGTATCAAGAATGTTCTGACTTTTAAGCGTTTGCGTGTGGCTTCATTCATGAGTTCAGCAAGCGTATGCACACGGCCGCATGTCCCTTCGCGCGACGTCGGTGTAGTTGCCTACCGTAAAGTTGTCACGCTAGCACCAACCCAACTGAAAGCCTGTCTAACTCTTTTCTAGTCAATGAATTCACAAGCACACTTCAATTCGTGAGAACTGTAAATGACGGAGGAGGATTAATTCAGCAATTTTTGACTCATAAGTTAATTCACGTTCACAGTAAATAAATAAACTTAAGAAAGTCATAGGTTTTAAATAGTACTATCGAAATAGTTATTGTGATAGTAGGCAGTGTAATAGATAAAAAATAACAGAAAAATGTTTAATTGAAATATACCATGAGGTTAAACATCTATTATTAGAATTTATATTACTACTCTTAATGATTTTGAAATTACTTGAAAATACTTTAGATTACTTCCGACCACACCTTCTTTGTGACTTATTATACACTGATTAAAAATTTAATTTCAATTAACTTAAATTCTCGAGTAATAAAATGTAATTTACAATTAACTATTAATGAAATTTAATTTTCAATTAAATTTTAATGAATAATATGTTGAACTCTGCATGTTGTTTTATGCCCATAAGCTAACATACTCTTACAAAACTAACATTAATTTTGGTTATTTTGGTTTCTACATTTTGGGTATGACTGCGGCGATGAAAATAAATAATGTTCCTTTAATCATTTATGAAAATTTAATTTAAATAATTTTACAAAATAATTCGTATTTTTACATTATTTAGTCCAATATTTTGGCATTGCTAACAAATTGCGTATCAATTTCATGAGCATAAATAATATTTTCTCAGTCAGCAGTTTGCACTTCTAGAGTTACTTGGAATCTTTAAATACTCCTCTGGCCATTACAATACGACTTAACAATTTATTTTACAGCATTTAAAACAATTGTTTTGATTTTTTAAATACTGTTATTGTAAAAGAAATACCGTTTAAGTAACAAAAAACAAAATATTTACCACCAACATATTAAGTTAGATTGTTATTCAGTAAATCTTTCGCCCTCTAATCTGTATCAACAATGCAATTTCCAAATGGAAACTTCGTGCGCTCCAGACCAGCAACTTAAACAAATCCATGCATGTATGTGTCGTCGCTAACTACAATTAGAAAAATAAGGTCTTAAGATTTTAGACTGCTTTTCTGAGTTATGTGAAATCCATAAGTCCAAACATGAACAGCTGAGTATCATAATACGTTTCGGCCAATGAAAAACCGTCTGCGACTTCTGCTTCATTGTCCTCGCTAAAACGATCCTTCTCTCGGCCGTTTCGAGTATCGACTGCAGAAAATCGATCAGCGAAACAAGGGCGCGTCTATTTTGAGACTCAGATCCTACTGTGCGTGCGTCTTGTAAACACGGACATTCCACTAACTGTAAGCACACGATGCCTGTTGACCTCATCTTCAATCTTTAGTGTAACGAAATTAGCACTTGTCGTAGAAGTTCATTGGCACGTCCATAAAGTATCACTGTATTTGAGGAACTTATTTCATCATATTCCACGTATTCAATTAGTACCACAATTATTACAAAAACATGAAAATCGCATATTTCATCACATCATTGTATATGTGCAACGAATGTCAAGTCTAATCCAAAGAATCTCTTTGAAAGAATCACATACCTATATAACTACACGCCCTCAGTCAGTCATTTTTCCTTCCAAAGAATGTCACACGAAGAATACGCCACATGCTATCACGCCTACACCCTCATACGTACACCAAGTACCTATGCTTACGCAAGTCATTTTCCTTCCAGTAAATGTCTTCGGAAAAATCCACCACAGTCTAACACACACACACACACACACAAACATATAAATGTAACAATTTAAGCAAAACGGTTTTATTTTACTAATGAAATATCTTATTTCATTTTCTCAAAACTAAAACATATTCCTGACTTCCCATGTGTAACACAAAGTGTTCATGGAAAGTTAAGTAGTATTAACAAAGTTTTAAGTAGTAAAATAACCTGCTTAACCATCCCTCCATCCCAAAGCGCACTCTCTACTAATATCAAAATTTGAGACACTCTTCCCAAATTGAATGTCTAGATCATATAATTCCCCGAAAATCGATTTCTATGGAAACAAATATTTGGGGTCCTCTAATACGACAAAAGGGTATTGGTTTTTTTTTGGCAATGAGTTGTCTATGTATTCGCCTGTCCGTCCGTCTGCCCGTCTTACTCGTGTGTGCATAACACTAGCGCCTAAACTATTCGTAGGAAATTGGCCAAAATAAGGATTTCCCAAATACGTACCCTTACTCGAATCCCCGAAATTTCGAAAATATGTTTTTTAATGTTAGGGCTACATAACATAAAGCAAACGGAACGTTTTCTATTTTTTCTTAAAAATCTCTCCAAATTTGTTATTTAGTTTCTTGCAATAATAGAGTCATAAGCTCTTATGTTTCTTAGGACGTATTTCCACGGTTACCTGAATTTTCAAAAATTTAAAACTTTTAGACCCCTCCATCAGTGCTGAAATTCATATTTTTCGAAATTCGGCACGTAAGGGGGGGGGTCGTTTTGTAACTTGATCAGTGTAGGTTCCTTTTGTTTTTCGTCTATCTCGAAAATTATTCGTCTGATTGGAGTTTACTTAGCACCAATGAATTTCTTATAAAGTGTTCTAATTGTATACAGAATTACAGATAGCAGTGCTGAAACTAATATTTTTCGAAATTTGGCACGTAATAGCGGGTCGTTTTGTAACTTCATTAGTTGAGGGGTTTTTTTCGTCTATCTCGCAAACTATTCGTCTGATTATAGTTTGCTTGGCACCTATGAATTTCTTTAAACGTGTTCTATTTGTATATAGAATTACAGAAAGCAGTGATGAAATTAATATTTTTCGCAATATGGCACAAAAGAGGGGATCGTTTTGTAACTTGATCAGTTGAGGGTTTTTTTGTTTCTCGTGTATCTCGCAAACTATTCGTCTAATTGTAGTTTGCTTTGCACCTATGAATTTCTTTTAATGTGTTCTACTTGTATACAGAATTACAGAAGGCAGTGATGAAATTAATATTTTTCGAAATTTAACACGAAAAGAGGGTTCGTTTGTAACTTGATCAGTGTAGGTTCCTTTTATTTCTTGTGTATCTCGGAAACTATTCGTCTGATTGTAGTTTCCTTTGCACCAATCAATTTATTTTAATGTGTTTTACTTGTATACAGAGTTAGAGATAGCAGTGCTGAAATTAATATTTTTCTAAATTTGGCACGTAAAGGGGAGTCGTTTTGTAACTTGAACAATTGATGTTTCTTTTGTTTCCCGTCTATCTCGGAAACTGTTCTCCTGATTGGAGTTTGCATTGCACCAATCAATTTATTTTAACGTGTTTTATTTGTATACAGAATTGGAGATAGCAGTGCTGAAAATATTTTTTTTTCTAAATTTTGCACTCAACGGGGGGGTCGTTTTG